AGAAGAGAAAAGAATGATTACAGATATTTTAGACTTTTGACTTTACAAGATTTCAGATAGAACAACAACAAGATTTGTTAGATTATTTATTTTCTAATATATCTTATAAACGACAGATTCTCCAGGGCAAACGAAACAAGTAGTACAACCATATGTATAATGTCTTTCATAGAAGAGAAAAGAATGATTATAGATATTTTAGATTTCTCACTTTACAAGATTTCAGATAGAATATCAACAAGATTTATTAGGTCATTTATTTTCTAATATTTACGAATGACAGATTCTTCAAGGCAGACGAAGCAAGTAGTATAACCACGTATAACGTCTTACATAGAAAAGAAAAGAATGATTATTTAGACTCGTAGATATTTTTGACTCGTTACTTTACAAGATTTTAGAATAGAATAATAATTTGTCAGATCATTTATTTTCTAATACAAACAGATTCTCCAGAGTAGTTGAAGCAAGTAGTATAACCATATATAATGTATTACATAGAGAAGGAAAGATATTTTAGATTCCTTAATTCACAAGATTTCAGATAGGATAATAATTTATTAGATTATTTATTTTCTAATATTCATAAACAACAGATTCTCCAAGGCAGACGAAGCAAGTAGTATAACCACATATAATATCTTACATAGAGGAGGAAAAAACGATTGTAGATATTTTATTACATAGAGAAGAAAAGTATGATTATAGATACTTTAGACTGCTTACCTCGCAAGATTTGAAATGGGATAATAACAATTTGTTATCGTCATTTATTTTCTACAAGCGTTCTAACACTTACAAACGACAGATCGACGAAGCGAGTAGTATAATCGACTATAATGGAGACCTTTATCGAAGAAACGAATATCATTCGTTCAATTCTGTTCGAAATCTTTTAACGAAGTATTCGAAAATGTATAATTTTCATAATTATAATAATTTTATAATTTTTCCTTTCTCTATTCTTCGATGCCCAAAATTTTCGTCCCACTTTTTTTTTTTTTTTTTTTTTTTACTTCAGTTTTTCAGTCGATTCCTTTCATCTCCCCTTGTCGCTTTTTCGCACCGCTGTACAATCGTTGTTTTTCCCTCCCCTCGCTGTCATCTTTTTTCCTCTCTCTCTCTCTCTCTCCTGTTCTACTTGTTTAACCCGTTTTCACTGGACAGTGAACGGGAACGAACACAAGGGAAACAACATTAGAAGTTAAAATACGTGTCATCCCACTGTCCGTGGCTACCTCTAATGATGATTTATACATATGTTAACGTTTCACCGCCGTTTAATTAAAATTTATTCCTCGCACGTCCACCGGAATTTTATCATTTAATCGTTTATACATTCGAATACATTCGCGGAGAAAGGGCAGAATTACGAGTGATAAATGGAATCGACAAATTTTCCTAAGTATTCTTCTGTTTGAATTTGATTAATATTCTTAAAATTTCTAATACTCTCTTTCGACTCTATTTCTTCAGTTTCTTAATTAATCGCTAGAAGAAAAATTCACGCGAATGTATTTACATGGAATTTTTAATGAATTGAATTTTGGAAAATATTCTTCTATTTATTATTAGATATTTCGAAAAATTCATTTCTTCTCTCGATTTCTTAATTATTTCGTGAACGTATTGTTATGGAATTTTCATTATTGATAATTATTTTAATAATTTTGAAAAATTCATTTCTTCCGTCGATTTCTTAATTATTTCGTGAACGTATTGTTATGGAATTTTCATTATTGATAATTATTTTAATAATTTCGAAAAACTCATTTCTTCCGTCGATTTCTTAATTATTTCGTGAACGTATTGTTATGGAATTTTCATTGTCGATAATTATTTTAATAAATTAACGAATTTTGCAAAATATTTCGAAAAACTAATTCTTCTTTTCGATTTCTTAATTATTTCGTGAATATGTTATGGAATTTTGATTGTCGATAATTATATTTAATAATTAATTTAATAAAAATATATTTAATAAAATCGACGAGATATTTAAGAAATTCTTCTATTTATTTTTCTATTATTTTTCTCTTATTAGATTCGATATTTCGAAAAAAATTCATTCTTCCTTTCGATTTCAATTTTTTAAATATTTCTGGAATGCATTATTATGGAACTTTCATTGTCGATATTGATCTAATAAGTTGACGAATTTTGCAAAATATTTCGAAAAAAAAATTCTTCATTCTTCCTTTTGATTTCTTAATTATTACGTAAACATATTATTAAGAAACTTTGATTATATTCAATAAATCAAATGAATTTTAGAGACATTTATAATATTCTTCTACTTATTATTACATCCAATATTTCGAAAAAAACTTATTCTTCCTTTCGATTTCTTAATTATTATACATATTATTATGAAACATATTATTAAGAAACTTTCATTATCGATGATTATATTCAATAAATCGAATGAATTTTAGAGATATTTAAGATATTCTTCTACTTATTATTACATCCAATATTTCGAAAAAAAAAACTCATTCTTCCTTTCGATTTCTTAATTATTAAACATATTATTAAGGAACTTCCATTGATGTCGATGATTATATTCAATAAATCGAATGAATTTTAAAGACATTTATAATATTCTTCTACTTATTATTACATTCAATATTTCGAAAAAAATTTATTTTTCCTTTCGATTTCTTAATTATTATACATATTATTATTAAATATATTATTAAGAAACTTTTATTCGATATTTTTTAATCGATGATTATATTGAATAAATCGAATGAATTTTAGAGATATTTAAAATATTCTTCTACTTATTATTACATCCAATATTTCGAAAAAAATTCATTCTTTCGATTTCAATTCAATTATCACGTGAATGCAGTATCATGGAACAAGTCATCGATTATCGAAGATAAAAGTTTCATTGTTACCCGTGCACGATTTAATATAAACCACGCTTCATCGATCGGAGCAAAGGATGGAGGAAGATGGTCGCGTGACCGGTGATGTTAATGGAAAGTTGAATCTCTCGATTTCTTTGTTCGGCCGAAGATGAGCGGCCGGGCGGAAAAAGGAAGAGAGGAAGAAAACAGTTATCAAGGAGGAGGCACTTAGCCGCAAGCTAAGGGGAGAAATTAATGAAGGAAGCGAGGGGAGGAGGCATTTTTCAATTTGAGAGGAGCGAAGGAAGGAACCGTTTTAACTTAAGTGCCTCGCCGCCCTTCCACCTTTCTTCAAACTTGTATCCGCCATTTTCTCTGTTTCTCGATTCGTAAACGATACATCGATCCCTCGATCGTCGTCTAATCCAATGATTAATTTTATTGAGTCGAAGAGTTTTGCAAAATATTTCGAAAAACTTTCGATTTCTTAATTATTACGTGAATTTATTATTATGGAACTTTCATTGTCGATAATTATTTTAATAAATTTTGCAAAATATTTCGAAAAACTCTCGATTTCTTAATTATTACGTGAATATATTGTTGTGGAACTTTCATTATCGATAACTATTTTAATAAATTGACGAATTTTGCAAAATATTTCGAAAAACTCTCGATTTCTTAATTATTTATTATTTTATTATTTATTTATTATTTATTTATTATTTATTTATTATTTATTTTATTATTTATTTTATTTTTATATTTATTTATTATTTATTTCTTAATTATTTCGTGAATTATTATGGAACTTTCATTGTCGATAATTACTTTAATAAATTTTGCAAAATATTTCGAAAAATTCTCGATTTCTTAATTATTACGTGAAT